TGGTCGCGCTCTCTCGATGGCTCACTAATAGCGGCTCGGCTCTCTTGGGGTTGCATCCAGCCGCTTCTTCATGCAAAGCCACATGCATGTTCCTTTAAAGGAATCGCAGTGAGATATAAGAAAAGATGAATCCCGGCAAGGTTGCACTACTGCCTTTGCCGTCCCCTGGACAAGAAGGAATTTGGAGCTGCGACAAATCAAATTTCCTGCAGATGCAGCTTGGCTAGCGGGTTTTCCATGTGAACTTCGGATCCCTCGCTCGTAAATTTTTTCTTCTTCCTCCGCCCTTTGAAAACTTCAGAACGATATTGAACCTGACTAAAAGGCTCACCGGCCGCATTTTTTTTTTTTTCATCAAGATATCAAGATGCTACTCAAGACAGAAGGCGGAAAGACTGAAATATCGACGCGAGATGTGCACTTGGCAGCTGAAAAAGGCCAAGCCGCTACAGATAGGTGAGCACTACCAACTCCTGCATCTTGAAAATCGCAGAGTTCGGGGTTCCGTGTGTTGTGTATTTGGACTTATTACTGATGAAGATCCAATGTGTTGAAGATATGGTGAAGCTCTCGTTGCATATGATGCCGTAGCTGAGCGCAAGCTGCGGCTCAAGATTGACCTCTTCATCGTCCCAACCGTGGCTCTTCTCTATCTCTTTTGCTTCATTGACCGCGCCAACATTGGTAAGCCGATATTAAGACACTTGTTCCATCTACATGTCCTCGCACTGACAAGCGAACTCCGTGATGCATAGGCAATGCAAGAATTGCCGGCCTTGCGAGTGATCTTCACTTAGAGGGAAATGACTACAATGCCGTCATATCCGTTTTCTTCATCTCCTACATCGTCTTCGAGATCCCCGCGAGCCTAGCCTGCAAATACATCGGGCCCGGCTGGTTTCTGCCCATGTCGACGCTTCTCTTTGGCGTCTGCTCTCTGGCAACCGGCTATGTCAACACCATGGCCCAGGCCGCCGGCGTTCGCTTCCTCCTTGGAATATTTGAAGCTGGCATGATGCCTGGAATTGCCTACTACCTGTCTCGCTGGTACCGCCGCTCCGAACTGGCCTTTAGACTGTCTCTCTACATTGTCATGTCACCGCTGGCAGGGGCCTTTGGCGGGTTGCTGGCGTCTGCCATCTTGAAGCTCGATCACGTTGGCGGCGTCAAGTCGTGGCGTATGATCTTCGTTGTTGAAGGCATCATCACCATCGGCCTTGGCCTTATTGGCTTCTTTACCCTGACGGACCGCCCTGAAACTGCGCGCTGGCTCTCACAGGAAGAAAAGGATCTGGCCATTGCCCGTGTCAAGTCTGAGCGGGTTGGTACCACTACAGTCTTGGATAGCATGGACAGGGTAAAGATCTCGAGGGGCATTTTCAACCCTGTGACGCTTAGCACGGCCTTCATATTCCTCTTGAACAACATCACAGTCCAAGGATTGGCCTTTTTTGCCCCAACAATCGTCGCTACTTTGTTCAAGGGCAAGACAACCATCCACCAACAGCTCCTCACCGTGCCCCCTTATGTGGTGGGAGCCTTCTTCACGGTCTTGTTCCCCCTTCTCAGCTGGCGTCTCGACAGACGCCAGATATTCATCGTCCTCTCCGCCCCCATGGTCATGGTAGGCTACGCAATGTTCCTCGGCTCAACCGACCAAAAAGTCCGCTACGGCGCAACCTTCCTCATCGCCTCCTCCGCATTCGCCCTCGGGCCCCTGACAAACGCGCAAGTCGCCGCCAATGTCGTCGGCGATACGGCTCGCAGCGCAGCCATCGGCACGAACGTGATGATGGGCAACATCGGGGGTCTGATTAGCAGCTGGGCGTTTCTCCCCTTTGACGCACCAAACTACCATATCGGAAATGGGCTCAATTTGGCGACGTCGGGGACGGTTTTGGTGCTGGCTGCGTTGATGCTGGTGTGGATGAAGCGGGATAATAAGAAGCGAGGGAGCAAGGATATTGATGCGGCGCTGGCTGGCTTGACGGATGAGCAGATTGAGAACTTGGATTGGAAGCATCCGGCTTTCCAGTGGAGATATTGAATGACTTGACACAGAATTACGAATGCCTAATTTTAATTGTACACCTACAACACAATTGCATTCTTCTTTTTTAATTAGTCGTGAATGTTATGAATGAGTATAGACATGGCGTAATGACGTAGTCAATGAGCATGAAACAACCACATTCAATAAGTTGTTAAGATTGTAGAAAAATAAACAAAGTAGCTGGCATAGCGACTATTAGTTAGATGTTAGGTTAAACAAAAGAGACAAGCAAATGACTGTTAGTACATCTATCATACAACATGTTTATGGCCTTCGTGGATAAAATTCGAGCTTCCATTAATTCAGCCCGCCCCCAAAGCCGTGAAATCGATCGCCGCCCAACCCATGAAACGCCGTTTGGTAATACCCTTCGTCCCAGGTCCCCAAGTCTCCATGTGGCGTCAGCTCTCCTGGAGCGTAGAAATGGTCGGGCATTGGAAAGCTGTTGCCAATGTCTCCGTCATTAGGATCTGAGACGTTGTTGTTCCAAGATTGAACAGCAACGGAATCCATAGGACCAGTGACACTGACACCCATGCTTGGCATAAATGACATGTCACCTGAGAAGTTGTGGTCCAGCATGCTCACTGCGGCCGGTGTAGGCACGACTGAGGGATCAGGAACCAAGTTGCTTCCCCGTCTATGCAGATCCTCCTTGATAGTCCGCACGCTGTCTCGGGGTCCGAGGGCAGAGTTCCTGATGCTGCCGCTTTCGTCGGAACATTCGTCCATCATTACCACCCCAGAGTCAGGCCGAGGGAGTATTTCCCTCCCCTTTCTCGGTATAAGGCTTTGGAAGCTCTGTGCCCGAGATGGCTCATTTCTCTTGTTGCTGCGATTCGTGTAGGGCATGCTCTGAGCGGCGCCGATACATCGCTCTACAGCCTCCATAAAGCATTGCTGGAACTTGGTGGTCAGGGTCTCCAGCGTTGCCGGATTCGAAATCTTGTCGCGCAGAGAAGAGTGTAGGACTTCAAACGACGACATGTAGTAGTTGGAAAGCTCAAAATGTTCAATAACGGGAGTAAAGTCTACTCAATCAGTATTAGCGAGTTTTCACATGCGAATTCCATAAGCTGAGGGGTGCGTACGGTATTGATGGATCTGGTGGTCCTCATCATCTGGAAACAGAATGTTCCAGATTTCTTTCCACTGGGCCTCAGGAGAGGCACCACTGGCTCTTTTACGGGATAGGAGCTTGACCGATGTCGTTCCATCTACTCCCGACTCTGGGTCGTGATCCATGATGTCGCACATCATCTCCTTCGGCAGACGCTGGTGATCGCGAAGCTCTTTCCTGGTGTGGAAGTCACGGTTGCATCTATCACAGACAAATGCGGACGGGTCGTCTCTCTTGTGTTGTTTGACAATGTGCTGCCTGTGGGAGCGTGTCAGCAACGTAATGCACACATACGAGCTGCGTATATGATGGTAGATAGGTAGGATTAGTCCTTTGCGTACCTTAGCTCAGCAAACTTGGGAAAGTATGTCATGGCACAGCTGTGATGATCCCTGACATTAAATCGCGACGGGTTCCTCTTTCTATAAGGACAGCTCAGACGTAGATTCTCTTCCTCCTTGGGATTTGGCCGTATCTTCTTGGAGGGATTGTATCCCAGGCCCTCACCCTCGCTGAACTCGCCGTCATCTTCATCCCCTCGACCTTGCTTCTTCCTCTTGCCGCCGGATTGCGAGTCGCCAGCACCGCTACCGCCCTGAGAAGGGGTTGAGGAGCTGCTTGATGTTGACATGACTTGCGTCATATCCGCGTCTGATGGCGTGGCCCAGAAACAATTCCCGACATCGCCAATAAACTTGCCCACCAGATTCCGCACAGCCGGCGTCACCTTGGACGCCTCCTCTTGAATATCTACCCCAAAAACTAATTGGAGGGTATAATCAAGAATGGCTTCAGTGTCCTGAGAGGAAACGTCATCTGATGCATACGATGCTGTATCCCACTTGGAAGAGGATGGCTCAATGGTCGATGTCTCAAGCTGCGGCCACTCGTGAGAGTCGCTGGGAGTCAAGCTCTCTTCCTCTTCTTTGATGGGTGAGACGCTGACGGTAAAAGTCAATATACATGAGACCAGAGTTGCCTCTGAAGATCTTCTGTGCTTGCCTTGTAGATTGTTCCAGGCAGTCGCTCTCGCTAATAGGAACGGGAGTGATTGGAGTGGCGACGTGAATCTCCCCTAGCTTAGCGCTGAGGTCTGGATATCCTGCAAAGGAGTAGCCGTCATCGTCATCATTGACGTGGGTTGAACAAAAGGATCCCGTAGAAGACTGGTGTCGATGAAACACCCGGCTGGCAGGACGTGAAGCGTCGATGGAATGCCCGCAAAAGATGTCGCTGAGATCGCTGGCGTAGCTGGTGCTGATGGGGCTGGCCAGTGTTGAATGGGAATAGGTCGTCGCAGAGTCTGGTACGTTTGCCGACGAGATGCTGCTCCTCGTTGAAGCCGTTCTCGAGCGCAGGCGGAATGAGCTAGGGGCAAAATGAAGGCTTTCAGGGAAGTGCTTTCGTTGAGCAAAGGTAGCAGAAAGACCTTGGCTCTCGGTGCCAGAATGCGGCACAGTCAACGGCTTATCGATGAGGGAATCTCTGGATCGCGAATCATGTCGCACGTGTATGGGAATATGATTGAGAGCAAGGCCTGGTCTTCGATCTGCATGCTCAATTGGGCTATCGGCCATGGAGTGAGCCGCTGAGAAGCTGGCCCGTCGCAATGTCATGAAGTGCTAAGGGAGAAAGTTTTATTATACAAAACCGACTTGGCTCGGACTCTGTCCACTTGTCAGTGTTTTGTCCACAGCGCCATGTTGAAGTTGAAAATAATAATGGCTGAGGGGGTAATTAAGGCAGGAAGAAGAGAAAAGAAACACAAGAGACGCTCTGACCTACATTAAAATTAATTATAGTATATTAATTGCGTGGAAAAAAAGAAGGGATGAAGAAAAGAGAGAAAGAAGAAAGGCTGCCTCTCCAGAATGCCTTATCGACGATAGGTGCGGGATCGCCTACTATTATCCGTCTTGTATGCCAGGATCAAGGCGCTGGGGAATGCCTCGCGAACCGCTAAAACCTCGAGCTTGGATGCCTTCTCAGGCCCCCCATTCTGCAGTCCTGGACTTTTGCCTGCAGACTCTAGTGTCTGGCGATGGGGCATGGCTTTGCCCAGCTGGGCCATACGACGGCATCCTTCGTGGGGACGAGCCACGGAGCTGCGCCTCTGATTCGCTCATGGTGACGGCTGTTGCATGGGGAGCACTGCTGACGCAGGCAGAGACGATCTGTCGAGGCAGCCCTATGGTTCGCATCTTGACAGTCGCCAAGTGGCCGAGTTCTGGTCCTCGATCTGGGTCTAGGTTCTGGGTTTAATAAGGGACCCTCCTGATACGGCTTCGAAGCCCGTCGAGCAGCCAAACGCGGCAAGTCAGGAATGGGCACGAATAGGCTAGAAAGTACAAAAGACGATATCGCACCTTGATGGGGATGGGGCCGGGTTTGGGGTCTTGTCTTGGTCCGTAAGCGCCAGCTGAACGTCCGTCATCGTCTCATTGTGTTGTGCCGATAGCCACCCCTGGAGGGATGCGCCTTAATCTCTGATCCGGCGGGACGGCGCGCATTAGTCGAGCGCGTAGGTAGGCAGGATAGATTGATTGTGAACATCACAATTTCGATCCAGTTGCTCTCAGTGGAGGAGTCGTGGAGTTGAAAGTGGTCAGATGGCAGATTGGTAGGTATCAGTTGAGGCCGGATAAAAATAACGCCCGGAAAAATCAACATCAGGGTGCCGCTGCCCATAGCGGACAACTGATGGTGGCTGCCATGGGCTTTCTCTTCTCTTGACACCTTGTTAATCTGGCTTCACAAGTCGATTTCTCTCTTCTCGTTGGCTAATGAAGACTGACTGGCGCATCACGGATACTTTGAAACGGGTCTTGGACCTCAGGCTTGTTGAACATCGAGTTGCATGGGGGTCGTTTTTAGCCTTGGGCTGAATTATGCGTACGAGCAGTGTGAACAGCCCTGAGAAAGTCCTCGTGAGGCTACTAGCTTTGTAAAGTTATGGATAGGACAATGACAATGACTGTCCTGGTTGTCGGTTTATAAGGAGAAGAGACTGGAACTTGGAGTTGAGGGAAGTAGATTAAAGTATTTCATTTGAACCCATCTGTATAGACAACATTCTCTCTTTGAAGCTGTCCAAGAGCAACCCATCTGTTGAGACAGGTTTCTGAAGCCTTTTGATACTATTCCATTCAGACAATCATCAATAACATCAAGATCATATCCAGCCAACCATGGGCGCCTCTCAGCAACCAAACAACGGCTCGACCCAGCACAACGGGAACTCAGCCTCAAGCCCATCCACTGCTTCTAGGTGAGTGTGGTGCCGCTTCTACCGCTAGCTTCCCGGCTCCCTCCCCCCAAAGCGACCACTAACAACCGCCAAAAACTCGGCTATGTCCGCTAACGCACGCCATCGACGCCTGTAGCACAGCCCAGAGCCCCGCCATGCTCTCCAGATTCCTCTATGACAGGACAAGCGTGCAAGATCGTCTGGTGGCGCGATCATTCAATGCCGCAACTCAAGGATCAGGGCACGATGCAGCTGCAGCTGAGCTAGAGCATTACATGTCACAGAGCTCGAGCAATGCACAAGCAGCCGGATCGAATGTTAGGTCAGCTTGACTCGATTTGACTTGACGTGGAATTGAATGTATGGGACAACCGATTTACGAATCATGTATTTTTAGATGTAGTATAAAATAGAGTGGCAAATATCATACTATCATACAACCATACCTGTTCCTGTCGTGGGGCCTCACAAACATGGAGGATGCGGGCTAGGAGCAGTCGGTCCCGAGATGCTTGGCCTTGGCCGTCTGCAGGTGCCATCAATGGCATCAAACGGGCGCATTCCTGAGTCTACTGGGGCTCCATGTTATTCTTAGGCATTCTCCATTATATTGACCCTTCTAGAACCACTTGAGCCTCACAGAGCCTCACATCTGCAGCACCAGCTTTGCCTGTTGTGACACAGTCCCACCCTAGCGGAGATCCCGATTCAAGAAGAGCATAGGCCACGAACAAGCTTGAAATAGAAAGAAAGGGGTATCATTGAATCTCTACAGGTGACATACGAGATAAGCTATATCCAATCAATTCATGTTGTAAAAGTTGGGCGTTTCATGAAGCCGCCTGGGCCAGCTTCCTGCGCTTGTTTCTTTCGTCTTGTTCTGCCAATACTCGAGCGGTCAATGTCGCAGCCATCGAGTTGTTGATGCCCTTGATTCTCGAGTCTGTTTCTTTCTTTGCTCGGCTGGCGTCATTCTTCTTGGCCTTGTCTTCCTTCTTCTCAGCATCTCCCTCCTCTTCTGCATCCCCGGCCTTTCGCTTCTTCTTCTTGTCCGACTTGCCCTTCTTGAGCGTATGAGTGAGGCCGGTTGCCTGTAAATCTTCGATTCGCTTCTGTAATCTGTCTAAGTCTTTCTCAGCAGTCGGGAGGATAGCTATCACATTCTCTTGGGTAAATGCTTCTCCACACTCTGGGCAGGCTTCTTCTTTGATCTCTGTAATGGCAACCTCTGCAAATGCGTGGCCACATGGCACCAAGTAGACGGCCTTTGTCGCCGGCCCCATTTCCTTCATGGAGATCGGGCAAGCCCACTTATCGCCCGTCTTGGAGAATTTCAGCTTTGCAACGTCACGGAGTGAGCGGATGCCCAGAGATGCTGGTGTCACTTCGTTGGGATCGTCGGACGGCATCAGCCCCTTGAGAATGGCTTCATAGCTGTATAGTCTCCCCCGCCAGTCTGAAACTACTGCGTCCAAGTCGAGGGGCGCATCGCTGAGGGCGCAGTGAGCCCATGCATGTGCGAGAGACTCGAGGGCCGTCGCCTTGAGTTCTGAAATTGTCGGTGCGCGCGCCGCGTTCTTGACCAGCTCGCGGCGCTTGGGGATGGATCCGCCGTCATTGCCCATGGCTGCTAATCGTAACGATGTGTATTGCGGTGTAGGTTTAGTGTTATTGGATTCGTGTGTTTAGACTTCGATGGGATGAGGCGATTCGGAAGTTTACGAAAAAAAAAAGTATCCTTCTTCACAAGCAAGTGGCGAGGGTCGGCAGAGCGTGACCAAGAATTAGGTGGTCATGGAGCTAACTTTCTCCTACTGGGTAGCCGCCGAAAGTGAGATCTCGCTCACTGACGAATCACCGCTGCCGTTATCGATAGCACTTTCCGAGACTCATGTGCCGCTCAGTGTTAGCATTAAGCTTTACGCACCGTGCCCAGCCCGTCTTCGCTGGGGAAATTACAGTGCAGTTACAGTGCGGACAAACGCGCAGCAATCGATCCTACGAGCTATGAGGCTAACGGGCCTTTCCTTGTCCTACCCAACCTTCATTAATCCGGCAACGCAGCTTGTCGGAGGCATCATGACAACGTGATTCTGGGCTGCCAGCGAGGCATTCCTTTGACTGTGTCACATTTTCATCCTTATCAACCTCACGACAACCATCTGCGAATTTTCCCCGATCGAGAGCCTCGACAACTATCGCGCGTCATTCTATTTTCCTCGGTGCGATTTCGACCTCGCAGTCGAGCTTCCGCGACTCATCGCCTCGGTGCGGTACATGTGGCGCTTCCATTGAGGCTCCAGTCGACTTAGGGGACGATGGCGCAGGCACAGCAGGTCGCCCTAGAGCGGCTCGAATATATCACGAGGGGATTGCGGTCAAGGTGAGCTCCCGTGGTGGGGGTGTTTGTAATGTTTGATGCTTGGTCGATGGAATGACGACGCTGATGAGCCGCCCCTCTCCAGAACCAGCGACGATTTGCGCAAGCGATCGGCTATCCAGCTCCGAGAGCTGGTGACTGTATGCCATCGAGGTAAGGCGATGTCGACTCCGTCTTGTGCGTTTCGAGGGACTGCTCAATTAACACCCCTGCAGATCTTAGCCCCGAGCAATTCCTCACCTTCTACAACAATGTTAACAATAAAATCACCCAACTCATCACACATGGCAGCGACTCCGCAGAGAGGCTGGGCGGTATCTATGCCTTGGATTCTCTCGTTGATTTTGAGGGCGTGGACGTGGCCGCCAAGTATACCCGCTTCACACAGAACCTAAAGACTATTCTACGTGGCAAGGATACTATGCCTATGCGGCATGCTGCGATTGCCCTTGGAAAGCTTTGTCGGCCTGGAGGGGCCATGATTTCGGAGCTGGTTGACTCCGAGGTAAATACTGCACTTGAATGGTTGCAGAATGACCGAGTCGAGGAACGACGATACAGTGCAGTTCTCGTCCTGCGTGAGCTTGCGCGAAATGCACCTACCCTCATGTACCAGTATATCCCGACCATTTTTGATTGGATCTGGGTCGGCCTTCGTGATCCAAGACAGCTCATTCGAGAAACATCGGCCGAGACCGTCAGCGCTTGTTTCCGCATCATTCGAGAGCGAGACCAGGAGATGAAGCAAATCTGGATGAGCAAGATCTACAACGAGGCGAGACAGGGCCTGAAAGTCAACACGGTCGAGTCAATCCACGCATCATTACTGGTTTTGAAGGAGCTTCTGGAACAAGGTGGTATGTACATGCAAGAACATTACCAGGAAGCTTGTGACATCGTTTTCAAGCACAAAGATCATCGTGACCCGACCACGCGAAAGACTGTGGTGCTCCTGATACCAGACCTGGCAAGCTACTCGCCAGCCGATTTCGCCCATTCTTGGCTACACAAGTTCATGGTATATCTCTCTGGCATGTTGAAAAAGGACAAGGAGCGCAACGACGCTTTCCTCGCCATCGGAAATATAGCAAACTCCGTCAAGAGTGCCATCGCCCCCTACCTGGATGGCGTTCTGATCTACGTGAGAGAAGGCCTCAGCGTACAATCTCGTAAGAGGGGCTCTGTGGATCCAGTCTTTGACTGTATCAGCCGTCTTGCCGTGGCTGTCGGCCAGACTCTCAGCAAATACATGGAGGCACTCCTTGACCCCATCTTTGCCTGCGACTTGACGCCTAAGCTGACACAGGCCCTGGTCGACATGGCATTCTATATCCCGCCCGTCAAGCCCATCATCCAAGAAAGGCTGCTGGACATGTTGAGCGTTGTCCTCTGCGGTGAACCCTTCAAGCCTCTCGGCGCGCCACAGCCAAACACTCTAACCTCGGTGCCGACTATCGCAAAGGATGCCAAGGATCCACAGGCGTATGAAAATCGCAAGACGGAGATCAAACTTGCATTGAACACTCTCGGGAGCTTTGATTTCTCTGGTCATGTTTTGAACGAGTTTGTTCGTGACGTGGCCATCAAGTACGTTGAGGACGAGGATCCGGAAATTCGAGAAGCGGCGGCTCTCACTTGCTGCCAGCTTTACGTCCGAGATCCCATTGTCAACCAGACCAGTTATCATGCCCTCCAGGTCGTTGGGGATGTCATTGAAAAGTTACTCACTGTCGGCATATCCGACCCAGAGCCGAATATTCGGCGGACTGTGCTGGCCGCTCTGGACGAACGGTTTGATCGTCACCTGGCCAAGGCAGAAAACATTCGCATCCTCTTCTTCGCTTTAAATGACGAAGTCTTCTCTATCAGGGAAGTTGCCATCTCTATTATCGGTCGACTTGCTAGGTTTAACCCGGCATATGTTATTCCTTCCTTGCGAAAGACTCTCATCCAGATGCTTACTGAACTCGAGTTCTCAGATGTGGCACGGAATAAGGAGGAGAGTGCCAAACTACTGAGCCTCTTGGTTCAAAACGCACAGTCACTGATTAAGCCATATGTTGAGCCAATGATCTCTGTTCTTCTTCCCAAGGCCAACGATCCCAGCCCCACGGTCGCTGCTACCATCTTGAAAGCTATTGGAGAGCTGGCCACTGTCGGCGGCGAAGACATGCTGCCGTACAAAGACCGTCTAATGCCGCTCATCATTGATGCCCTGCAAGATCAGAGCTCAAACATCAAACGAGAGGCGGCTCTCCATTCTCTTGGCCAGCTGGCAAGTAATTCTGGATATGTGATACAACCTTACCTAGAGTATCCTCAACTATTAGAAATTCTCCAAGCCATTATTAGGACAGAGGATCAGAGAGGTCCTTTGCGACAAGAGACCATCAAGCTTATGGGTATTTTGGGCGCATTGGATCCCTACAAACATCAGGTGAGCACCTCGGCCCCCTTCTTCCCTCTCGAATGTGTCCATTCTTGGACAACGAAATTAAGAGAGGAGCTTCGAGTTCGCTAATTGCTGAATGCAGCAGGTTGAGGAAAAGACACCCGAAATGCAACGACGCTCAGAGTCAAATCAGATGACAGACATATCACTGATGATGACTGGATTAACGCCGTCTAACAAAGAGTACTTTCCTACCGTCGTCATCAACGCACTCCTCCAGATTCTCAAGGACCACTCCCTGGCTCAGCATCATGCCGCCGTTATCGAGGCTATTATGAATATCTTCAGAACGTTAGGACTAGAATGCGTGTCATTCTTGGATAGAATCGTTCCTGCATTCTTGCTTGTTATTCGATCGTGCCCCCCTACCCGCTTGGAGTCGTACTTCAATCAGCTGGCCACGTTGGTGAGCATTGTACGACAGCACATCAGAAATTACCTTCCAGAGATTGTAGAGATTCTTCAGGAATACTGGCACAAGTCGGCTTCATTACAGACTACGATCTTGTCCTTGGTTGAAGCCATCTCTCGGTCGCTGGAGGGTGAGTTTAAGATCTACCTGGCGTCACTTCTCCCTCTCATGCTTGGTGTGCTCGACAAGGACGTGTCCACAAAGCGAACGCCGTCCGAGAAGGTATTGCACGCCTTTTTGGTGTTTGGAGCGAGTGCTGAAGAGTACATGCACCTTATTATACCCGTTATTGTTAGGACGTTTGAGAAGCAGGGGCAGCCGACGTTCATCAGGAAACAAGCGATTGACACTATTGGCAAAATTTCCCGTCAAGTGAATTTGAACGATTTTGCAGCCAAGATTATTCATCCTCTAACGAGAGTGCTCGACAATGGAGAACCCATGCTGAGGCTCGCTGCGCTTGATACACTCTGTGCTTTGGTACAACAGCTTGGAAGAGACTATATACATTTTATGGGAACTGTGAACAAGGTCATCAACCAACATCAGATCCAACATCAGAACTACGATCTCCTTGTTAGCAAGCTGCAGAAAGGCGAGGTTTTGCCGCAAGACTTGACATCGGACGCGCGCCTCTTGGACATTGGTGATGAAACTCCTTTTGCAGATCTGGGTACTAAGAAGCTGGAGATGAATGCCATCCACCTGAAAGCTGCGTGGGATACCAAAGGAAAGTCAACAAAGGAGGATTGGCAGGAGTGGCTACGAAGATTCAGCACCACGCTTCTTACAGAGTCGCCAAACCACGCCCTGAGGGCATGCGCCAGCCTTGCGAGCGTCTACTTGCCTCTAGCCCGAGAGCTTTTCAACTCGGCCTTTGTTTCATGTTGGAGCGAGCTTTATGAACAGTTCCAAGACGAACTAATTCAAAATATCGAGAGCGCCATCAAATCGGAGAATGTACCGCCAGATTTGCTTGGCCTCTTGCTCAACTTGGCCGAGTTCATGGAACACGATGACAAGGCTTTGCCCATCGACATTCGGGTTCTCGGTAGAGAGGCTGCTCGTTGTCACGCCTACGCCAAAGCGCTGCATTACAAAGAACTGGAATTCTTACAGGATCAAAGCAGTGGAGCCGTAGAAGCCCTGATTGTGATCAACAATCAGCTACAGCAGTCAGATGCTGCTATTGGTATCTTGCGGAAGGCTCAGCTATACAAGGAAGGCATTCAGCTGCGCGAGACATGGTTTGAGAAGTTGGAGCGATGGGAGGAAGCTTTGGCATCCTACAACAAGCGAGAAAGAGAGGTGCCTGCTGACCAACCCATCCCCATTGATATTGTTATGGGCAAGATGCGTTGTCTTCACGCCTTAGGTGAATGGGACGCTCTCGCTAGCTTGACCGGCAGCACATGGGCCAATTCTGCACCCGAAGTCCAAAGAATGATTGCGCCGCTCGCTACGGCTGCCGCGTGGGGTCTCGGCAAGTGGGATTCGATGGATAACTACCTGTCTTCTCTCAAGAGATACTCTCCAGAT